GGTTACACAAGTCAAAAGGAAAAATGAACTGCTGATTCACACTGTAAATTCTTTAACCATACCTGGGTGTAGAGTATTTTCATTTTGTCCCCTTCACCTTTCAGAAACTCCCCCTTTGCCCAGCCATGAAACTGAGAAAGTCTCTTGGTTTAGCCTTATATTCCCTGACGTTATGGGAAAAGGAATGGCTGTGTGTCTAATGAGATCTATATGTTAATTTGAGAATATAAATTCTCAGAAAGCATGATTTTGATCTCTTCGTATTTTATTTTATTTGAATCTCCTATGTTGCCTCGCCTGTATGGTTACTTAATAAGGGCTGTTTTGAATGCCGGACTTGATTGCTGAAGGCCTTTGATAAGTGATACACTTTTGTCCTTAAGAGTTTCTCTATGTCAAACTGTTTTGGAGCACTCGTGAATTGGGAACTTGGCTTGTGAATGCCAATTCCCCATGGATCCTCAAGAATGAGGGACTGACCCTGCTGTTCTGATATTAAAAGCAAATCCAGGAAGAAAGAACCCTTCATGTGCACGTGTCTGTTTACCTCATTCCAGATGGGGAAGTACACTGATCACTCAGGGTCCCTTCCAACTTCACTGAAGTTTGGTGTTAATTCCTTTGTGCATTGATTGAGCAAATATTTGTTAAGTGCTGACAATGTACAGAGCTCTGTGCTAGGTTCTGTGGGGATATAAGGTTGTAAAAGATGTACCTCTAACCCCCAATAAATTTATATTACGTGCCAGTTTGCAATCTAGTTAAGACAGGCAAATTCTCTTCCAAATAGATAATACATAAAGGAACACTTCTATCCCAAAGCAGTGGCTTGCCTGTTTCAAGAAATATTTGAAACTGCTTCAATTCCATGTGACTTAAAAAAAAAAAAAGTACATCTGCAAGATGCCACAGAGAAAATATGAAAATTGTTAATCCCTGTGTGCAAATTAAAGTTCCTGCTCATCTTCATTAAGACACTAGGTGTCTGGGAATCTGGGGCCAGGGTCTTTAAAAGGAAGCTTGATCCATGTGGACAGTGCAATGTGGCTTCTCTAGAGCATAGGAGTAACTCATCACAGTCATTTGAGAAATAACTTAACACAGCTACCTGGAAACCCGCAGACACAGCCCCAGACTTAGAGATTTCCTTAACCAGTAGGATATTTCAGTTCCTTCTTTGTTTCTCAATTCCTTACCCTTCTGCTCAGACTGCCACGCTATTAGTTCTCTGATGCTTCTGGCAACACTAATTTCCTTCAGAAATCATTAGAGGCTATTAAATGTCTCTTCCAGAAACTCCTCCGGTGCACATGTCATCAAGGCAGGAGGAATACTTTTGCAGAGGATACTCAGGAACAGTAGCTCCCCGAGCCAACCTCCAGACCCTACAGACAAGAGGGGAGATCCAGTTGTCTCACACACCCAAATAACGGGGCCAGTAATCCTCACCCAATTTTTTTTATCATCTGTTTTTGTTTTTTGTTCCTTTTTCTATCTTCTTAATCTGATTAGGCCATAATATATGGCAGACAGTAGGATGAATGAATAACTTTCCTAACATCTCTCAAAACGTCTGGGAGTTGCAGTCACTTCCCGCATCTCCTGACCGCCTCCCAGTCTGCTCTACCGAGTCAGCATAGGCAAAATGCTAAAGCTGGTAATTTTTGGACCTTGGCATCCCCTTTATCTGTCAATGTCACTTATCGTTTGGTAAAATCATTCAATAGGAAGGATGTATTTCTCCTCGTGTACCTTCTTTTTTATAGACTTCACTTTTTTAGAGCAGTTTTCGGTTCACAGCAATATTGAGCAGAAGGTACAGAGACTTCCCATCTACCCCACACACTCCCCCATATATGCACAGCCTCCCCACTATCGACATCCGGATGTTACATTTGTTGTATGAACACACACTGACACATCATCATCTCCTAAAGTCCGTAATTTACATTAGGGTTCACTCTTGGTTTTGACAAATGTGTAATTTTCTATATCCACGTTTCTATATCCACCACTGTAGTATTATATGAAATAGTTTCACTGCCCTACAAATCCTCTGTGCTCTACCTATTCATCTTTCTCTCCTCCCTGACTCCTGCCAGCCACTGACCTTTGTATGATCTCTAAAATGTTGCCTTTCCCAGAACATCATGTAGTCGGAAATATACAATATATAGCCTTTGCAAATTGATTTCTTTCACTTAGTAATATGCATTTGGGTTTTCCCATGTCTGTTCATGGCTTGATAACTCATTTCTTTTTGGTGCTGAATAATACTCTATTATATAGATATACCAGTTTATTTGTCCACTCATCTACTGAAAGATATCTTGGTTTGCTTCTAAGTTTTGGCAATTGTGAATAAAGCTGCTGTAAACATCTATGTGCAAGTTTTTGTGTAGACATAGATTTTCAACTCACCTGGGTAAATATCAGGGACTATGATTGCTGGATTGTATGTATAAGTGTGTTTAATTTTGTAAGAAACTGCCAAACTGACTTCCAAAGTGACTGTACCATTTTGCATTCCCACCAGCAATGAGTGAGCATTCTTATTGCTCCCCACCCTTATCAATATTTGGTGTTGTCAGTGTCTTTGGATTTTCACAATTCTAATAGGTATGTCATGGTATCTCATTGTTCTGATTTGAAATTCCCTAATGACATACAGATGTTGAACATCTTCTCAAACTTGTATTTGCCACTTGTTTATCTTCTTTGATGAGGTGTGTGTTTAGGTCTTTTACCCATTATTTAAGTAAGTTGTTTTTTTATTGTTGAGTTTTAAGAATTTTTTGTATATTTTGGATAACAGTCCTGTCGCAGATATATATATATATATATATATATATATATATATATTTTGCAAATATTGTCTCAGTCTGTGGCTTGTCTTCTCATTCTCTTGACACGCATGCATCTTCAAGTAAGAGCCAGAGGACAGACAGCACTTTATCCAAAACAGGGTTTCTTAACCTTGGCACTACTGACATTTTGGGCTGGATAATTCTTTGTTGTGGGAGCCTGTCCTGTGCACTGTAGAATGTTTAGCAGGAAACTGGCCTCTACCCACTAGATGCCAGTAGCAGCACCCCTCCCAATTGTGACAATGAAAAATATCAGATGTTGGCAAATGTCCTGGGGCAAAGGTGGGAGGAGACTGGGGGGAGGGAGATCACCCCTGATTGGGAACTTCTAATCCAAAGGAATGAATCAGTATTGGTGAAATTTAAGTCATCAGTGAGGGAAGAAAATGTGCAGAAATATTTTGACTTAAAAGCCTTCCCGGTGCCCCAGGAACCATTATTACTGTTTCCACTGCTCTGATCCAGTTAGGCATGGTGATCATACATCCTGATTTATCTAGGATATGTTTACACCTATAGTCCCAGCAAAACTATTAATTGTGCCCCCTCTCACTCTCCAAGAAATCCCAGTACAGAGGATAAATTATAAACAAAGCGCATCTGGAATCTCCAGGAATTATAATCCCAATTTGGGCCTTTCTTGAGTGCCATCTAGCCGGGGAGTCTGCAGTACCTAGTAACTGTTGGGGTGCAGCCAAGGGTTCTGGCCATTCATCTGCTTTATACTCATGTGCATGTTTCTGAGGAAGTGGAGAATCTGAAACTTTCCCAGAAAGCCTTGACTGTGTATTTTATACAGCGCTAGAGCACAGGCAAAAGAAGAAAAGGGTAATTCAGAGTATTTTGTTTGTGTTTATTTGACTTAATAAGTATTCATCAATGGCCAGTTTCATCGATGCTGGTTTCCTTTCTTCTGCACTAAGTGTAAATTCATCACCGTAACTCAACGCAGTGTGAACGGACAATTACCGTGTAATTTTAACAGTTGCCCAAATCTGTACCATTAGACTCTACTTTTTTTTTTTTTTTTTTGATAAACTAACAACCCTACATTAACACAACACAATGACCCAAAGTCCATACTTTATTTTAGGGTTCATTCTTAGTACTTTTTTTTTTTTTTAAAGATTCTATCTATTCACTTGACAGACTTAAGCGTCTGCCTTCGGCTCAGGTCATGATCCCGGGGTCCTGGGGTCGAATCCCGCATCAGGCTCCCTGCTCAGCGGGAAGCCTACTTCTCCCTCTCCCGCTCCCCCTGCTTGTGTTCCCTCTCTCACTGTCTCTCTCTCTCTGTCTGATAAATAAATAAAATCTTAAAAAGCAAGGGCTTAAAGAGCGCCTAGGTGACTCAGTCGGTTGAGTGTCCGACTCTTGATTATGGCTCAGGTCATGATCTCAGGGTCATGAGATCAAGCCCTGAGTGGAGTCAGCACTCAATGGAGAGTCTGCTTGAGATTCTCTCTCTCCCTCCCCCTCTGTCCCCCGCTTCCATGGGCACGTTCTCTCTTTCTCTCCCTTCCTAAAATAGATAAATAAATCTTTTTTTTTAAAAGCAAGAATTTAAAAATTAATTACACAGGAAGGAATAGATACTAACCCATATAGCTGAGTCCTTTCCCGCTCTAGAGAGAAAGCCCATTTTAGTTCTCCTTTAGCTATGGTAGAGTGGGGGGCATGCCAGGCAAAGTGAAATTTCAGGACACAAAGCTGATAAGTAGTAAAAGGGAGTCACGAGCAACCAAAATGAATTTTAAGGGGCGACTGGGTGGTGCGGTTGGTTAAACCTCCTACTCTTGGTTTCGGCTCAGGTCCTGATCTCAGGATTGTGGGAATCTGCTTGTGACTTCTCTCTCCCTCTCTGTCTGCCCCGCCCACCTCTCAAAAATAAATAAATACATCTTTTTTAAAAATGAATTTTAAAAAATTGGTAGGAAGCTCTGGCATGGCTGGAGACCTGATACACGTGGGGTAAAGCCACGGGAGTCCCAGGGCGGGAAATATCCATCTTCTTTGTGGATGTTTTGATTGTTGTTGAATGCTAAGCCTAAGAGAGGAAAGCAAAGGTGGAAAGGGCAGTTCCCCTCCTTAAATACGCCCCCACCCCCAGCCCCTTCCTCTGCTTGTAGCACTTGGAAAAATGTGTTCACATTTTGCAGAACCACTTTTCTGTTTATCCCCCAAATTAGCTGTGAATTTTTTCCTGCCAACTTTAAGTCTTCATAGGCTTCTCGGTTCCGCTTGTCTTCTTGGATTAGATTCTCTTCAAGGCCAGGACCCCTGGAATCTCAGCTCCATTTCCGAGGTAATTCTGCAGGAAGGCAAGTTTGGCATGTCAGTTTTTAAAATATGCTGTGGCAGTTGGGGGTTGGGGAGGGGAGAGAGAGAGAGAACACAATTCTATTAGCCTTGGAAATCCAACTGGAATTTCTGTTAGTTACATTTTGGAAACTTATTCATTATCCAGACATATGACAGACTCCAACGAAGAACTGATAGTTCATACAATAAACCTTGGAAAATGACCAAAACACAAAAACTCTCCTGGACAGCCAAGACTCCACGATGTTTCCCTGGGACTTTGATGATTTTTCAGGAGGGTGATAACTGAAGAACCAAAGAGGTTAAGTACGGATGTGAGCATCGAAGTTCTCTCTCACTTCCCCAAGCCTCCGAATAAAGCCTTGGGCTGGCAAAAGAATAGTGGTAGCAAGCCTGGCAAGGGGTTGGCAAGGACACAAAAGACTCCAAGGAGAACTTTAATTTCTAAACAATGAATGGTCACGGGGTTACACATAGACTTTCCAAGGGAAAGAAATGGAGTGTGAGATCCAGCTCGTCCTAGGTGAGTCCAGCTCAGGGGAGGCACCCAGGTTGGGTCTCACCTGTCATCAGGATAGGGGCCAATCAGTGGGGCAAGGCCAGGGAGGATTTGGGGGGGAGGTCATGGAAGCTTCCTATGGACTCTGCATTCAGGCCAGCACACTCACCAAGGCAGATGGCGCACATGAGGGAGGGCTTGGTGATATTTGCTCAGGTGGAAAGTGCAGGGCGTGGTGTTATCAACACTTCCTTTGACTGGGCAGTCATAATTCTTCTGAGATCACAGAATCTTGAGTGTCAGATAACTTGGTTGGGAAAAGCAAGGAGATACAGCTGCCCCAGATTTGGGAATGTCGTTAAGGGTCACCTTAGCTGCAATGTAAATACAGTATCAGGAAAATGTTCACTTGTACTCATTGTGCTATTAGTTGAGCATCAAAAGCACAACTATTTTGAGTAAACATTAAAGCCTCACGTGACTAACCTAGGGTGATTCTCTGACAATTTTTTTTCACCTTCATTACTTGCAGAATTTTCTTCAATAAAAAATTTTTTTACAATAAGGTTTTGTTTATATACAATTAACTGCCCCCTTTTTTGGTGTACAATTGTATAAATTTTTACAAATGTATAAAGTGATATAACCATCACCACAATCAGGATATAAAACAAGTCCCTCATCCTAAAAATGTCCTTGATTCTTCCCCTTTGGAGTCAAACCCTCCACCCATCCCCAGGCTCTGGCAACTCCATACTATAGTTTTGGCTTTTCTAGAGTGTCGTATAAATTGAATTACATATTATGTAACCTTTTGGTTCTGACTTCTTTCATTTAGCATAATGCATTTAAAAATCATTAATATTATGGGGTGCCTCAGTTGGTTAAGCGTCTGCCTTTGGCTCAGGTCATGATCACGGGGTCCTAGGATCTAGCCCTGCATCAGCTCCCTGCTCAGCCTGCTTCTCCCTCTCCCTCTCCCTCTGCCTCTGCTTGTGCTCTTTCTCTCAAAAAATTAAATAAAAAATCTTTAAAAATCATTAATACTATAGTTTCTAGTTGTTGGTGATTATAAATGATGCTTCCATAAACATTTGGATATAGGTTTTTGTGTGAACTTGAGTTTTCATCTCTCTAGAGTTAATACCTAGGAGCGGGACTCCTAGTCCTATGGTTTGTGTATGTTTATTTCATGAGAATTGCCAAACTGGGGTGCCTGGGTGGCTCAGTCAGTTAAGCTCTTGATTTTGGCTCAGGCCATGATCTCAGGGTTGTGAGATCAAGCCCTGCATCGGGGCCCATCTCAGGCTCTGCGCTGGGCACGGAGCCTACTTAGAGTCTCTTTCCCTCTCCCTCTACCCTTCCCCCTATCCCCCCATTCTCTCTCTCTCTTAAAAAGAAAGAAAGGAGGGAGGGAAGGAAGGAAGGAAGGAAGGAAGGAAGGAAGGAAGGAAGAAATCGCCAAACTTTTCCAGAGCAGCTACACCATTTCACATTCTTACCAGCAATGTATGAAAGTTCCAGTTGGTCCACCTCCTTGTCATCACTCGGAAGTGTCAATTTTGTTTTTATTTTTAGCCATTCTAATAAGTGTATAGTTGTATCTCATTGTGGCTTTAATTTGCATTTCCCTAATGACAAAATATACTCTTGAGCATTTTTTCATGTACTTATTTGCTATCTACATATCCTTTTTTTGGTGAATTATCTGTTCAAATCTTTTGCTTTGTTTTATTGGGTTGTTTGTTTTCTTACTGTTTTTTAAGAATTCTTTAGAGGGGCACCTGGGTGGCTCCGTTAGTTGAGCGTCTGACTCTTGGTTTTGAGTCAGGTCATGATCTCAGGGTTTTGAGATCAAGCCCTGCATCAGGCGCTGCGCTCAGAGGGGAGTCTGCTTGAGATTCTCTCTCTCCCTCTGCCCCTCCCCCGCTTATGCTTTTTCTCCCTCTCTCTCTCTCTCAAAATAAATAAATAAATCTTTAAAAAAAAAGATTTTTTTATATATTCTGGGTACAAGTTCTCTGATAGACATGTGATTTTTGAAAATTTTGTCCAGTCCATAACTTGTGTTTTCTCTTTTTTACAGAACAAAGTTTTAAATGTTCTTGAAGACCAATACATCAATTTTTTATGTGGGGGGCAGTCATGTTTTTGGTATTTCTTTCTAGAAACTCATTGCTTAGCCCAAGGTCATGAAGATTTTCACATGTTTTCTTCTAAAAGTTGTACAGTTTAACTCTTTACATTTCTATCCATGATCTGTTTTGAGTTAAAAAAAATTTTTTTTAGAACTTTTCAGAAGGGGTTACTTGTTCACTGAAACCAGCATGTCCATTTACAGCTGGTCCCTGGTACGTATATAAGCTTAGAGCTACAAAATAGCTTTATCAGAGGCATTTTCAGTATTTATGCTCTTTAATCAGTCAACAAATATTTATTAACCCTGGCATTTCCCTTTCATTAGTGCCTTCTAAAGCAATTCAGAACAATCCTGGGTGGACATCCTGTACTCCTAGTTCACATCTCTGTATTTCATTGTCCTCACAGTTATTCCCATGGAGCCAAAGCTATTTTCATTAGCAGCCCACTGACAGATATACATTCAAGAAGTTTGGAATCCAAAGGCAAAAGTAACTGGCTTATATTCCTTCCCAGTAAAATTCCACTTATTCTCCTTGACAAAAAAAGAATTAAACTACACAAAGTGAAGAATAAAGGGAGGGAATTGGTGGGACAATTCGAAGTTCCATAGTTCTGTGATCCTCTTCATCTTGACTACGTGGATATTAGCGTTTTATGTAGGGCGGAAAGGAGCTTGGAGGTCACCTCATCCCAGCACTTCACCCAACCACTTAATCAAGCCAACAAATATCGCTGAAAGCCTCCTATGAGCCAGAGGCCCAGTACATGCCAAATGAGAAAATCAAAGCCCAGCCAAGTGCAGGGAGCTGCCCGTAGCCGGAGGCTTGTCCGGGGGGCACTAAACCATGGTTCTCACATCACTGTCCACCACAGCCTCCTCATGTTGCTGCACATCTTCCACAGGTCACAACACCCCGAAACTTCTCTCCTGGATTCTGTCCCAGCACCGTTGGTGAATGATAGGACATGTGTGTCTTTTGGTTTCTGGGAGTGGACTGTAGCTCAGGGACGTGGATTTTGGGAAAGAGACTGTGTTTGGGAAATGAGTTTAAAGAGAAGTTTTGCAAAGGAGGGCTGTGGCTTGGGAGATGAGGTAACTAGAAAGAAAAGGCCAGGGGCTGTGGTTTGGAAAAGAGAGTTCTAAGAAGGGAAACTATGATTTAGGGGCTTTTTGAGAGAAAGGTCTATGGTTATTGAGAGGGGAAGAGGAGAAAGGGCTGTGGTTTGGGGCAAGGGGTTAAAAGCAAAGTTAGAAGAAAGAAGAGTAGTTTTAAGGAGACATCTATGGATTCAGGCCAAGATTTACTTATCTTAGACTCAGTTCACATATTAGACACATTTCAAAATTGTACCTCAAACAACAGTAGAGTTTTAAGGATATGCTGTGAGGGTTTTGGTTTTTTTTTTTAAACAATAACTTGGAATGTTTCCTTCTTTAAAAGAGGCGTTTAGGTAACATTCTCGTGCATTAATGATGGTTGAAGAATGCCAAGGGTTTTGAGTTTTTCTCTTTCAAATGGGGCAGGATGGAAATCCTGCCTCTTTGAAGATAGCCACGAAGGGCAAAGCGGCATGCATACTCTGAGAATGGGAATCCCACCAGTAAAACAACAGCCTAGCTGGGCACAGACAGGGGGCAGCCTGCACCTTGTTTATACATGGAACGAGGAAGAAATACCTGATCTTAGGTTTAGACTGTACCAAGTAGGATCTCAGAAATGGATTCATTCCAGAGCCTGCAAAAAAAAACAAGCCAGCCAAGCTGGGCCTTAAAAACTTTATCTAGATTCATGAGGACTGAGCCTGAGGGAAGCCCTAGGAAGACCTCCAGATTCTTTGGTGGAAAAGAAAATACTTGGAACTTCAGTCACTCACGTAGGTGCTCCCACTGATTTATTTAAGATGTTGTTATGGACTGAATGTTTATGTCCCCCTAAAATTCATATGTAGAAATCCCAACCCCCAAGGTGATGGTGTTAGGAGGTGGGGCTTTTGGGTGTGATTTAGGTCATGAGGGTGGGGCTCTCATGAATGGGGTTAGTGCCCAGCAAGTCCCCACAGAGCTCTCTAGTTCTCTTTTTGCCATCTGAGGACACAATGAAAAGAGAGAAATCTAAAACCTTAAAGACAGCCCTCACCAGAACCCACCGTCCTGGCCCCATGATCATAGACCTCCAGTCTCCAGAACTAGGAGAAAAAAGTTCTGTTGTTTATGAGCCAGCCAGTCTATGTTGTTGGGTTTTTTTTAATAGCATCCCTAACTGACTAAGACAGATGCCTATGGATAAACAAATGTTCATAGCAGCTTTATTCATAATAGCCAAAATGTGGAAACAACCCAAATGTCCATCAATTAATAAATAAATCAACAAAATGTATTATAACTGTATAGCAGGATATTATTTGCCCATAAAAAGAAATGAAGTTCTGATATCTGCTACCAACTGAATGGACCTTGAAAATATTATGCTAAGTGAATGACACCAGACACAAAAGGCCACATACTGTATGATTCTGTTTATATAAAATGTCCAGAACAGACAAATCCGTAAAGGCAGAAAGTAGATTAGTAGTTGTCAGCAACTGGGGGAAGAGGAGAGACTGCTAGTGAGTACAGAGTTTCTTTTTGGGGTGATGAAAATGTTCTGGAATTAGATACTGGTGCTGGGTGTACAACTTAGAGAATAGAATAAAAACCACTGCATTTCAGTCTTTTCAAAAATGAAAGGGCTCCCTGCTCTTGTTCAGGCCAGTCCATCCACTGATTTCCCTCTCCCCTTCTCTGCCTGTCTAATTTTTGGACCCCTTTGAATGCCACCCACCCCAGAAAACATTTCCGTCCTGTAAGAAGGATCCTCTCTATGCTAACTCTCTTTTGACATTTCTCTCTCACATCCCTCTACTTACTCCTGCAATATTAAGGGTTTGTGTACTTATGGAGGCTTTATCTTGACTTGCCCTCTAAACCACTTCTATCTCCATGCTTGCCCCGTGCCTGGCACATGATAGGAACTGAATAGAAATGGGCTCAAATAGGCATATGAAGCCATTCTTCGAACTCACCTTTCTACTGTCCCTGGTTATAGGGAGATCCTTGTTTCTTCCTTTAAGCCCTTACAACTTCTATTCCCACGGGAGCAGGGTGAGGGGTCTCAGCAACCAACATACCTATCCCCACTCGAGGCTTCCTTCAGCCTCTTGGATGACACAAAACCCCCTTTGACAGATGCTTGGGTCCTACGTTAACTCTGAAAATGGGGAGGTTTATTTTCTGTTATTTGAGAGCTAACATTAGGCCATGACACCAAGCCGCAGAGCATGACTCCTCTTTCTTCACAGACCTCACAGCTACTGGCCTCCACAGTAGCTGATGCACTTAAAGATGAGGGAAAAGTGCAGGCGTGCAGGAGTGGGGGAAGGGGTGGGCTTGGGGTTGCCAAGTGCCTGCAGCCAGCTCAGCTTGCCAAGCCTGTTAGAGATGTTCTTAGACAGGAGGGTACCTCTCCTACAAGCACAGTATCTGTGTATCCGGATTCCACAAGATCATTTCGTCAGCCTAGTTTACTTTTCTCATGTATTGGTTCTAACTTGGATCAAAAGGCTAAACCAAAAGGCCTGTAAATTATTTTGGCACAATTTATAAAGTTTGAATGTATATTCTCCTCATTATTGAAGCAAATTATTGCAAACTGAATCAGCTATTGAGTGCTAAAGAACATTCTATATAAAGGAATTGTATGGTGAATCCATTTGTAAAATGAACGGTCACTTCCCAGCATATTTGTACATACATGGGGGTTTTGAGCATTGGATTTTCTTCCAAGGTGGTAAAACTTTTCTTAATAGATATGAGGTGGTCTTTGAAAAATTGCTTACTTCTTATTACAGAAGAAACAGATGTTCATATACCACATATGTTTTAAAACATAAAAGAAAATGCTTCTGAGAACTTGTTATGCCTCAATCATGGTAGCTACTCAATAACTAATGTTTAAATAAAAAAATAAAATGAAAAAGAAATCACTGATATTCCCATCTAGAGGTAACTACTATTAACTCTGTGGTGTCTATCTTTTCAGTCTTTTTCTGTGTGTATTTTGAGCATACTGCTGTTTTTATAAGGTGCTGTTTTCACTTCACAAGGCGTTGTGAACATTTTCCAGATCACTAGCTAGTTGCAAGGTACTCCCTTGTGCAGCTGGGTCAAATCTAACTGTATCTCAAATGCTGACCTACAGCCACCCTAGCCTGGGGAGAGGGGGGGACCACTCTGAGTTAAGCCCCTCCCTCTGGTGCCGGCATTACACATTACACTACATTAACGTGTTTCTGTCCCATCCCCCCATCCCAAAGTATTAAGATGAGAGAGAGAATGCAAAGCCCCGGCTAAAGGAACTGCTGGAGCCAGGCTGTGAGTACAGTACCTGGAAGCTGGGTGTGTCGTCTGTCACCTGTCATGCTCTACCTGCTGGGTGACATAGTTTTTTGTTGGTTTCTTTTTTTGTTTTGTTTTGTTTTGTCTTTTTCTAGCCCCAGAAGTTCCTTTCAGGCTCTGGCCGCAGGAGGAGCTGACAGCAGCTTGATTGGGCTTCTGCCAACCATGAGGAAAGAAAAAAACCCCACTCCAATTGTCCCTTATCACTGGGCCACAGATAAAGTGGTTTCCTCCCTCACTATGTGTCATGGATTACAGAGTCACGGTGTTGCCACTGAACTCTGTGACTGAGGGAGGACAGTGCTTTCCCAGGAGCATTAAATCTGCTTTGGGGGTCCTGCAAGGGGACTCAGAGCCTGCAGTACGCTAAGCAGCCGGCTGGGTTGTCTTTCCTGGTGTTATAGTATTAGGTGTATGGCTTAATGTGCATGCCATATGCACAGGAGGGGTGCAACTCAAAGCTAGCCTTCCAGGGTGATGTTAAAAATAGTTTATATTCCTAGATAAAGATACCAAAAGGAAACTACAATAGGTAGATGGATCCAGTCCATTCCTTTAGTATATTAAGGGCTAGGATTTCTTTAGGTTTGGGAATAGAGTACAGTGATTGCCAATGGGAGTGCAAATGTGTTGGTTACTGCAATTTACTAGCTAAATGACTATGGGCAAGTTCCTTAACTTCTCTATTACTCAGGTTCCTCATCTGTATAATAAGGATAATAAATACAATACAATGAAGACATCAAAGGGGATGTCATCCAGATCGCATTAGGCAATGTGTACAAGGACTTAGCTCAGTGCTCAGTTCACCATAATCACTCCGTGAATGTTAGCTATTTTTATTGTCATTGCAATTGAGCTTCTTGTCTTGTATAAAGGTAAGCGATGAGAGTCTTATCATGACCTGGGATTTAACCTCAGGGTCTATATCTTCTAGATAAAAACATGTAGACAACACTCAGTTAACCAGGGAATCATCCCAAAGATATATTTTTCTCACAGTACCTCCATTTTTAGGAATTGAGATGGGAGACAAGAGAGCCTAGTTTCTCTGACAGAAAGTCCTTTTGCTAAAAAGAAAAGGAAAGAATTGATGAGGTAATTGAGATCAATGCAATTTTATTTGTAAACTGACCCAGTTTTGTAGTTTGACAAGAAAGATGCCTGGTTCTGAGGCTTCAATAAAATATAAGAACGAGCTGTGGCTTTACCAGCCCCATCCCTCATTACCCCAGTAACTCAAAATGCTTTGCCCCAAAGCTGCTGCCATCACAGAGGAGATGGCAAATGGCTGTTGCTGACATGTTCCTCTTCTTCCATCTACCTTCTAGCACACATGTCTAATGCTGCCTGCCCGTCAGACACTCGGGTCCTATCAGCCTCTACATTCTCATTTTGCCTGGGATCTTCATGAACTCAATAGCTGGGCTCAGTTTAGACTCAATGTTACTGTGACTTGGCAACTTCCCATTAGTAGATCCAAACTTCCCATACAGCCAAGGACAAGGGTCTTCACAGACTCTGAAGTTTTTGGAGCTCCCAGAAGGAGTCTGAGCGCTGTAGCTCTTGTGCATTCAGTTCTCATTTCCCTCTTAGTGCATCACAAAGGCCTTTCCTCCCCGCCCCCCGCCCCGTCTTCTCCCCTCCTTTCCTTCCTTCCTTCCTTCCTTCCTTCCTTCCTTCCTTCCTTCCTTCCTTCCTTCCTTTCTTCTTTCATTCCCTCCTTTCTTCCTATTTACCTTCTGTCCTTTAGGTCTAACCTAAACCTTTCCTGATGTTATTTAGGTCCATAGGATTAACCCATGCTAAGAGTTTTGTGAGATCCTTACCCAGTCTATATACATCAGTCAGTCCCTCATCTCTATGCTCAGTATTTTCTCTTAATCATTCACTATTGACTGCTTTTGCTGTGTATGTTCTAGTTTAAACAATATAAAGTGTAATGTAGATGTCTTCTTATTTCAGAAGACGAATCACAACCTATCAGATAGCAAACCATTGAAATCATTACTTGTGCCTAATTACAGACGAGGGAAATACCTTGTTTAATATCCATTGCACCACAATAATTATATCTGCTTGAAAATATCTCAATTGGGACTTGAGGAAAAAAAAAAACTTTAGTGGTGGAATCATACTCAACAGCTATAACAATTGTTGCTAGATCTATCTTAGCTCTGTTTTTATTTCATTACTTGAAAGCATATAAATCAGAGTTAACTTTTATAATTTTTTTAAGATCTTATCTATTTATTTATTTAGAATGTGTCCAAGTGTGCACGTGAGGGGGGGGCAGGGCAGAGGGAGTTGGAGATAGAAAATCTCGAGCAAACTCCCTGCTGAGCATGGAGCCCAATGAGGGCTTGATCTCACAACCCTGAGACCATGACCTGAGCTGAAATCGAGAGTCCAAGGCTTAACCAACTGAGCCACCCAGGTGCCCCAAATTTTATAATTTTCTAAAATCTATCAATGATAAGGAAAATTTCAGATTGTATTTTTGTTTTTTAGAGTTTTTCTTATAATTACAGTTAGTTAACATAGAGTTGTATTAGTTTCAATACAGTGATTCAACAATTGCATGCATTACCCGGTGCACTCATCATCACAAGTACATTCCTTCAACCTCATCGCCTGTTTAACCCATCCCCCCAACCCCCTCTCTGTCTGTATTTTCAATGATAGCTCTTTACCTAATGGCTTGTATTCTCATTGGACTCCTTAGCTCACCAAAACTTTTTCTTATCATAGCCAAATGCTCAACTATGCTTGAACTGTACTTATATTTTAAATTCTAGGACCAATTGTTAATATAAACTTTTCATCATCCTTTTAATATGATGATTTCTATCAATAAAGCCAGTTAAACAAAGAGCTGAAGAATCAGTTAAATAGAGAAATGTTTAATTATGAATGATCAAGGGCAGCTGAGACCCCAGAAGGCCTCTTTGTTTGAACTTGAAAAGGAGCCATTTCCTCCAAGAGAACTCTGCTCTCCCCTGCTTGCACCCAGGGCACAGGTTCTTTGGTGACTGCAGCACACTAGATGTCAGGGCCTACCTGCCCACGTGACCAGCACGACCATGCCCTGAACAACAATGTATAAAAATGAGCTTAACTTACAAAGCCATTGATCTATAGTGTGCTCTAGCCAGCTGATACACAGTTCTAGGACCAAGCCCAGAAATGGGTATTCTGACCAGATGATAATCACAAGTATTCTCAAAATGAAAAGGGGGTACGGACTATGGTAGAATCATGAGGTAGCCAAATTCACGAGGATATGTGAAAGAGTAAAACCAAAAATAAGTAACCTACCTCTGTCAATGAAGATGATGAAGGTGAAGATCAACTGGGTACAGGTACATTTGATTGTGTCTTAAGGTGGCTTCATGGGACTTCTGTTTTTGACTACTTTCTTTACAATTTTTTTCATGGAGCTATAAATTGATAAAGTCTTCTCACAATATGGTTTGGGAAATGATTATCAGAAATCTGAACGTGCAAATCTTTGAGCCAGCAATTTCATTCCAGGAATCGATTCTGAAGAAATACTCACACGTACCCATGAGGAATATAAGAACTGCAGCAAGGTCTCCAACAGCAAAAAATTGAAACCACTTTACAGTTCTCATAAATAATGCAGAAAAAAATAAGTTCATATTATGTCATCTCTTTGGATTATATCTTTAAGGAAAATTCTAAGTAGTAAAATTATCAAGTTAAACAAGAATTTAAATATTTTATGGCTCTTAATATGCATTGCAATTTCTTTTCAAAAGAATAGTTAAAAAAAAGAAAATTTTAATGTTGTTGCCACAAAAAGTGTATTGTTTCACTCCATCCTTGTTAGCACTGGGTATTAATTTTTAAAACTAAAATTTGGGAAAAGTAGAACAATATACTTCTTGACTGAGTCATAAATTTTAAATTTCTCTTTTATTAATTTATTAATTGCATTTGGTGAATTAACTGTTAAGGTCCTTTGTCCATTTATTTGTCTAACAGTATTTTTTTATTAATAATAATAGTCAACTCCTACTGAGTGTTTGTCAAGCGGCACTGTTCTAAGTACTACACAGACATACCACATTTTAACTTTACAAAGCTCCGTAAGTATTCCTGTTGTCACCATTTTACAGATGAAGAAACTGAGACCCAGATATGTCCATGTCATAAGAAGTCTATCTTCAGAGCTGAGGCTCTTGCTGTCATCACACTCTATGATAGCCTCATATGAATGTGTCAAATAGGTAAGATATCATCTCTTCATCTGTCATACTTGTTAAAAGTATTTTCTCAGTATGTTATATTTTTTGTGTTCTTGCATTCTTATGTGCAGAACATATTAATGTTCTTATAATGAATTCAATTTGCTTTTATCTTTGTCATTTCTTCTATCATTTCTAAGCTTATAAAGATATCCCTGCTCCAGAGATGTGAGAAATTTTCAAATTGATATTTCCTTTCAGTGTGTATGTGTAATATAGATGAACATATGTATTTGTGTATATAAATGTACATAAACATATACGGATATACAAATTCTTTAAGCCACATGGACATTATCATGGTGTACAATGTGAGGCAGTTGGGACTTTTTTTTTTCTGCCCCCGACACTGTTGTTGAGTAGGGAATCTCTCTGCCAGTGTCCAGATGAGATACTAAGCCACCAGATTTAAATCTTTGACTTACCTTTGCTCCAAATGATATGATTAAGACAAGATTATTTAACCCAAGCCCCAATGAGTCATTCCAAACCCCTGAATCATCTTGACAGACTTGACAAAACTGCTGAATTACTGCCTTGGAGAATTCTTTGCATGACTAGTTGAACACTGAATGTCTGCAAGCCTATGATTTATAGTCCTTCATCATCTGGGCACATGCCTGACCCAATGGACACACCCATTGTATTTCCAAAGAGAAGAAATATCTTAGGTATTAAATGGTAGGTCCCACTTGGTTCTAAAGTATAAGTCAGTGGAACGGTGCATATGGTATGATCCCATCTAGGGGGAATTATGTATCCTTCATATATAGAAAGAGACAGGTATAGATTAAGATATGAATATGGATATAGGTATATAGAAGAATATGCAAAAACCCTGGTCA